TTAAGACCAAGGTAAAGCAGGACCTATGCAACAAGAGTTGTAGCTTTTGGGTCTGATAAGGTCAGTGAAATCCCCTCAGGATTTATCCTGAGATCCTATACCTCAGATTGTTTGTCAGTGTCAGCCATGTGGATGAGTCACAGCCATTGCTTGGCCATTCATTGTACCTCTATTATAGTCTCCTTAGAGCGAGGTTGCCTGGATGAAAAAAGCTGCGTGTTCCTCCTTGTATCCAGGCTCCTCCCACTCCAGGCCTGATACAGGTTGCATGACCACTTCTACTTCTCTTTCTTCTAGCTTACAGGCTTTATACTGTGGTGCCTCGCCTGGTCAAGTTTGTTGATGTTCTGACCAATTGGTATGTCAGAATGAATCGTCGAAGACTAAAGGTAAGTACCAGTGGGCAAAGCAACATTATGTGACGTTTGACAGTTAAAAAAGAGAGGAACTGAAAAAAGAAAAGAAACATTGTCAGTAGCTTTCAGCTTTTGAAACTATATTGTTTTTCCTCTGTCATTACATCTTGACTGTATTGATACACTTTCAAGTTCTAAAGGTCATTTTTAGTATGTTCACATTCCTGCGGACTAGAGTGCAGGTGTCCCTGCACATGCAGGGCTAAACTGAGCAGGCCTCTTAGACTTGTACAGATCTCATCAGCTGAGGCAGGGGTCATGAGAGTGCCACCTCCTTGCGTCTCCCACAGACAGGCATTTATTTATGAAGTATTAGCTGTGGACAAAACTCCTCCTTAGCTGTTGGGGACTTAGAGGGAGCAAGGCCTGGACCCCAGTCCCAGGACTTACACTGTGTGCAGAAATTACGAAGGACAACAGAGTGATTGTGCTGTTACTGCTTATCAGGTAGAGAGAAGCTCGCACCACATGGCCTTTTTAAAATCTGTTAATTAATAAAAACGTGCAGCATAACTATAATATTGATTTAAGTATAAACACATATTTATGCACACATATATTCTATGCCAAAATGTGTTGTATTTTTGAGCAGTTTGATTATGGTTAAATTGTTCTGTTATAATTTTTCTTTCCACAATGAGGTAATATAAGCCAGCTATAATTTTGTATGCTTGTAGTCCTAGCACTCCAGACTGATCGCAAGTTTAAGCCCATCCTGGGCAGCTTAGTGAGATTCGCAAAATAAAACTTTTTTTTTTTTAAGAGATGGGGATGTAGCTCAGTGTGCAGGCTCTGGGTTCAGACCCCACTCTGACCACAGGGGAGAAAAAACAAAAAAAAACACATTAGTATGTAGTTACAGAATAAGAAATCAGAGAGGACAGGTTTGTGCTAATGTTGTTTAGACAGTTAAATGCTGGTGTCTTCTACTCTGAGTTATTCATTTTTTTTTTTTTTTTTTTTTTTTGTTTTGTATTTTTGGGGTTTTTTTGTTGCTATTTTGTTTTTTTGGTTTGTTTTGTTTTGCGGTACTGGGGTTTGAACTCAGGACCCTGCACTTGCTAGGCAAGTGCTTATTCTACTCAGTTATGTCCCTGGGCCCTGTTTATTTATTTATTTTTGTGCTGAGGATCAACCTCAACCTTGCACTTGCCAGGCAGGTGTTCATGCTGCTGAGCTCTCTCCTGACCCTGAGTAACTAATTTAAAGATAACTATACACAATGTGTTCACCATTGTTACCCTCCTATCATATTGTTTTGGAATTTTGTGGGTTTTTTTTTTATTTATTTATTTTTCTTTAAAATAAAAATAATTTTTAAAGAATAAGAATTTTTACTTCAAGGTATTTAGAAGTTTTCATTAGCAGTAGTTTATGGGAATGGGAATGGGAATGCATTCTACCTGTCTTGTCCACCTTCAGAGACACAGTCCCTCTTCAGCTCCTAAGCCAGTTCCCATCTGCCTGGCCTCCAGGAGTGTGGTTGGTGGGTGGTAGATGCCCATGCTATCCTGACCTCCCACGCTCCCTGTAGACACCATGGGCGTGGCCCTAGGCAGCTATGTTGTGGCATTTCTCCTTGGCCTGTCTGTGTCCTCTTGTGTACTTCCTCTTTTTAATGTTTTACTTTTTATGACAAGGTTTTTACTTTTTATGACCTGTTTTTACCAGTGTTTCTTTGGTATTCACTAGGGTGAAAATGGGAAGGAGGATTGTGTTATGGCCCTGGAGACCTTGTTTAGTGTCCTGCTTTCTCTGTGCAGACTGATGGTAAGATGTGTTGCGCCTCTTGGGCTTCATGTGGTATGTGTGTTGCAGCTTCCTTCCACTTCTATCTGTTTGGTAGAAAAGATTACCTTGTATTTCCACTGGAAACAGCTCATCTATCCAGATCCTCTTCAGAAATGTGCCAGCTTACACATATTAAGTAAGGGCTAAGTTCCCTAGATTCTTACAGCCACTATTGGTACAGTAGTGGTCAGCTTCCTTAAGTCCAGATAAGAATTGATAGTTGACACCTTGTCTTATATGGATTCTCAGAACTGTAATAAGGATGTTCCTGAACTCCTGCCTGACTTAACAAATAGATCACAAACATTCTCAACTTGGCATTGAGAGAAGTATGTGCAAATGCGACATGTTCTTACCAGTTAAAATACTAGTTGGGAAAAAAAGAAATACTAGTTAGTATTCTAATGAGAAGGCTCCAGCTGTAGTTCCTTGTATCCTGTTCTGTTTCTATATAGTGTTACAAGCTTTCTCCTTATCTTGTGACATTCGTAAGAGGAGACTCATCCTGTACCTGCTGCTGCTGTACCCAGCATCACCCACCTGCATCCAGTGGAGTGGGTGGTGTTTTTCCCAGTTACAGATTAAGTTTCTAAGGTTTGTTAGTCCTCTGCAGTCTAACGTGGTTTGTGCCTGGTCACTGGCTCCTGCTATTTCCGATATCCTCTAGGAGTCTGAAGATATTTTGGATCCTGCTGGTTATAGCCCTCCCACTGTACTTCGTAATGAGGTTGTTTCTTTCATGGGGCATATCTAACTTGTGCCTGTGTCTTATGTGTCATCCTCACAAAAGCTCAGTACTATTTCTCAGTGTAAGTGAAGTAAGATGATGGCTGTATATAGCATGATGTCCTGTGTCCTCGTATAGGCCCCTTATACACCATTTCTCACTGAATTGATGTACCAGAACTTAAAAACACTGATTGATCCAGCTTCTGTCCAGGACAAGGATACACTCAGCATCCACTACCTCATGCTACCTCATGTTCGGTAGGTATCCATTAAACCTCACCTAGGCCTTGGGAAAGGATGTTGCCAGAGCATGTGGAGGCTAACCTCCCAGGACAGGAGTGGGGACAGCCTGCCCTGCCCTGCCCCATCCTCTCTGTGCCCTACTTCCCTCCTATGAGTTGCTTATCAAGTTATAGCATGGGCTCTACTTTGGTAAGCAGCAAAAAGGATGGTGGCTATAGAACTGTGAAATGCAGTTCTACATTTAGGGACACCTGAGGAGCTGTGTGGCCCATTCCCCACCCCCAGGCTAGGTCCCAGTTAGCCTTCTCCAAGTACCAACCCAGGTAACTGAGCCACCCGTCCCTCCTAACCATCTTCCTCACTTAAGCCTGTTTTTTGCCCTTTTAAATCTTATCTGTCCTGTTTCTTCCTCTACCAATCAGAGAGGACTTGATTGACAAGAAAACTGAGAATGCAGTGTCTAGGATGCAATCCGTCATTGAACTTGGACGAGTGATCCGAGACCGAAAAACTATTCCAATAAAGGTTTGACATTTATTTGGATTTTATATGGCATGTAAACCTAAACAAGTCTTGGGTAAGCTTTCTTAATATAGAGAGCTTTGCACAGTGCCATAATTTATTTTTCTCTTGTACAGTAAGGATATGAATGACTTGGCATTAGTTTAGCCTACTTAGTGTGGAGCTTAAGATTTTGAAAAACTGGGCCGGGGAGAATAAGTGCTTGCCTGGCAGGGTCCTGAATTCAATCTCTGGTACCACAAAAAAAGAAAAAGATTTCAAAAAACTGTGTGTGTGTGTGTGTGTGTGTGTGTGTGTGTGTGTGTGTGTATGTGTGTAGTACTGGGATTGAATTTGGGATGTTGTGCATGCCAGTCAAGTCCCATGCTACTGAGCTGTCTCCCCAGCTCGAAATTGTTTTGTTTTTATTTTGTTTTTGCAGTACCAGAGATCAAGCAGGACTCTGCCCATGCCTATCAGGTGCTTCTGCCACTGAACTCTCGCCAGCTCTTCTAAACTTTTTTTTTTTTTTCAGCCTAGAAAAACATTTAATATGTCATTTTCCTGCCATGTAAAGGAATGGCTATTTAGTGAACTTTCATTCTTCTATTTCCTCCTAGTATCCTTTGAAAGAAATTGTGGTTATCCATCAAGATCCCGAAGCTCTGAATGATATCAGGTCCTTGGAGAAATATATCCTTGAGGTAAGGTAGATAATTTGTGTAAAAGTGGATGTTTTATTTGAGGTTATTTTTATGAATATTCCTTCATGAAGTTGTTTTATAAATCAGTGCCTATATAACAAACATAAACTTTACTTAGTATCATATTAACTTTTCACTGTATAAGCACAGTTCTTTTAAGAATATTTCAAGATCAGTGAACTTATCCTTTACAGTTATCCCAAAGTGCTTCTTTATAATTAACACAAAACCTTTCTTCCTACCAATAATGCAAAGAGCAAGAGACCACACACTTTGAAGTGCTAGAGCAGCATATGCCCAGTAGAAGATGGCTCTTCTCTGCGGTGTCTGTCCCCGGAGTCTTCTTTCCCCTGTGGAGGGGGCTCCTGGGATGTTACACTTGTACACCCTTGGATGCTGGGTGCATTTTAAAAATGGGGTTTGGGTGTCAAAAATTTAAACTATAGGGGCTGAGGAGGTAGCTCGGCAGTCTAAGCGCCTACATGCCACGCGCAAGGACCCAGAGTCCATTCCCAGTACCACACACCTTGCCTTCTCCAAAACCAGGCACAGTGGTACATGCCTATAACCCCAGCACTGGGGAGGCTGAGACAGGAGGAGCACTACAAGTCTGAGCTGCATAGCAAGACCCTGTACCAAATAAATCTTTCAAAAAAAAAATTTTAAAACTATAATGCCAGTTATCTCAAAGAAGAATGCCATGAGCTTTCTTCATGGATATTATGTGTATTCGTAAAGGTAACCTCAAAAGAAGAAAGCCATATTAAAAAACAAATATAGGACTGGTGGTGTAGCTTAGTGGTATTGCCTAGCAAGTAGGTAGATGCTGTATGACTGAGCTATACTTGTAGTCCGTAGGTGGCAAACATGTGGCACACATGCCACAGTGGGCTGTTTGTATCATTGAATGCTCTAGAAGGTTCGATATTACTTGTCCAGTCTATTGTAATTTTTTTTAATTTCTGTTCTTTTTATAAGCAGTATTTAAATGCATTACCATAAAATAAATTAATAAATAAAAATAAATAAATGTATTACCATAGAAAATAGTAATTTCTGTATTTGGTTTTGAATTGTTTTAGAATTCAAGGTAAATATTAAAAGCCAAGAAGTTAGATATAAAAATGTGAAATTTTAATGATGATAGTCATAAAAATAGAAATCCTTAAAAAATCTTGATTAAGTCTGATTTCAGTACAGCTCAATAGAGCAGAACTGGATGTTCCATTGTTTGCCCTCATCTGTTGAGTCATGGTGTCTTGTTTTTGTATCTCCTACATTACCATTAACATCAGTGGTAATCTGTAGCTTAGGCATGAAATGCTGTAGTTAACTGAGTCTTCCGGTTGACTCACAGTTAATCATTGTGCTTTGAAATTGAATCTGTGACTTAACTCTCAAGCATTCAATGGTACAAACAGCCCACTGTGGCATGTGTGCCACATGTTTGCCACCTATGGACTACAAGTATAGCTCAGTCATACAGTATCTACCTACTTGCAAGGCAATACCACTAAGCTATACCACCAGTCCTATATTTGTTTTTTAATATGGCTTTCTTCTTTTGAGGTTACCTTTATATAGTATAAAATAGGAAATTTGTGGAAAATTTCCTATTATGGCCAATTATCTTGATAAACCTTAACAGAAAGCTTGCCCCAGCCCCCAACCCCATCTCCATACATTGCAAGGGCTTTTAGGAATGTTTATCAAGTTTTACAACCATCAACACATGTTAAGAACAGTTTCATTATTCTTAAAAGTATCCATCATCATTTACACACCCTTTCTACCTTGAGATCTGGCCATTCTCTCTGGTAAGTATGAAATCTGCCTTCTGCCTTTGGTGTGCCTCTAATGAGTGACATTTCATGTGAGTGGAATAGTGTAATTTGTGATCTTTTGAGTCTGATTTGTGTCATTCAACATAATGTTCTTTCATATGATAGCATGTGTTAGTGCTTCATTCTTCTGGATTGCTAAATAATAGTCCATTGTGCAGATTTATATTTTGTTGATTCATTCACAATTAATGGAGTTTGGGGCTATTTTTATTTTGGACTTTTTTTTCTTTTTGGTGGGGAGGAGGGTCTTTTTCAGGCAGTCTTGCTATTCAGTTCAGGCTGGCCTTCACCTCACTGTGTAACCCTGGCTGGTCTTGAACTCGAAGCAATCCTTGTGCTTAAGCCTCCTGAGTGCTGGGATTATAGGTGGGCACTACCATGCCTAGCTATTTTTGGCTATTTTGAATAGTGCTACTGTAGACATTTATGTGCAGATGTTCTTGTGTGGACATATGTTTTCACTGTGCAAATTTTTGTTTTCTTTTGGTCATTAACCATAGGAATTGAATGTTCGTAAAGTTACACTATCTACGGATAAAAACAAGTACGGCATACGGCTAAGGGCTGAGCCAGATCACATGGTCCTGGGAAAGCGCCTGAAGGGAGCCTTTAAAGCAGTGATGATGGCCATCAAGCAGCTGGACAGTGAGCAGCTGGAGCAGTTCCAGAAGAGTGGTGGGTGTCTGTCACACAGGGGTGCCACTCATGTCTTTAGGACTGGGGACGTTTCATATTTGGGAACCTGTTAGACTTTTACCATTATACCCCTTCACTTAAATAAATAATTTCCTGTTGACAAAAGTAACTATAAATCTGATAGTTTAGAAAGTAAAATGTCCCCTGGCCCTCCACACAGCACTCTGACGTAGTGGAGCCTGCTGTCCACTGTTTATATGCATCCTTGTGTGGCTGATGCAGTGTGAAGATGCCAGCTCCTGTCACTGCAGCTATGGAGCAAGGAGCTCACTTGAATATTAAGGGGTTTTTTTGTTTTCTCCCCTGTTTTGTATTTTTATATTTTATGTGTTTCAGGGTTTTTCATACATTTTTGTGTTTTCGTTTTACATTGTAAATGTTATATGTATTTATACTCAGACATGATGTTTCAGTAGTTGGATAATTTTCAGTCTTTAGTATTAGTGTTTTTTGTTTCCATTCTTTTAATACTATCATTAATATTGC